ACAGTATGGACATCAGCGTATAATTTGTTAGTGTAATTTTTTACTTATATACGGCCAACACCACCTTGTTAAATACGCCTTGAAACTACCGATTTGAAATGGATTGGGAGCCAAGGTNACAGCTGATCTCCAATTCGCTTTGAGTGAGAGCGGTGTTTATACACTCTTTCTAACTGTCTGGAGAAATAAACTACCCAAGGTGTATTAAACAAGGTGGTGTTGGGGCGACAGCTGAGTTTTTCGCCGCGGAGGCCATTACGTCAAAATGATGTGTTTGTTGTAATTCATACCAATGACAGTATGGACATCAGCGTATAATTTGTTAGTGTATTTTTTTACTTATATACGGCCAACACCACCTTGTTAAATACGCCTTGATTGGGAGCCAAAAAACTTCGCTCTTTCAAAGCGAATTGAAATTCAGTTTATACATGTTTTGAATCGCGGCGAAATGAATTAAAGCGACTTATGCATGCGTATAAACGTAGTAATTGTACAAAAATTAAAGAAATTCAGTAAGGTTTCACCTAAATTGCAATTTTTTTAATTATACTCTAAAAAGAATTAATTTTAGTATAACAAAGTGCTAGATTGAATTGAGTTTTGTCAATTTGATCCTTCCCAGCAAACACAGTCTCTAACGTTAGAGAAATTTGGATTTCTACATTAGATAACTAGAGTATTTCTCTAATCGTTCTCGAGTCGATGACGAAGTTAGAGAACTACATTAGAATTCGATTCGAGAACGATTAGAGAAACAACGCAAATTCAAATAAGTGTAAATAAGCAATATTCCAAATGAATGAATCATAATTTTTTTTAAGTTCAAATAATTCATTATTATTTTATTGCAAATACATTTAATAAAAATTTTACAAACCAAAGCGTTTTATTTAATAACAGTTTGAAATTCAAATTCGAGTCCNCCAGAAAAACAGAAAATACCTTCTCCAAGTGAATTTTTAGACGCCAAATGAATTGAAATATCACGACCGAGTGTGCGAAAGTGTAGTCGTAATGTAATCGTAGCATCATGATTGTGACGATGAAGCAACTACGATTGGACGACCAATGTGCAGAAAGCCTTAGAGATCAACATTTGAATTCGATTAGAGAATTTATATTTTCTCGAGTCGAGAACTATGTCCCATTTTTGTTGAGATTGCTATGATTCTCGATAGTTTTTCGAGTCGATCTCAAACTTTTGAGATTGGAGAATGTGGCTAGTTCTCCAATCATTATCTAATCGATAACTAACCTCAATGTTTGCTGGGTTGACAGTGTAAAGCAGTTCCTTCCATATCAAAATATTTTTCGAACATAAATTTTTTTGCAACCTTGCGGAGTGCTGCCAGCATTTCATTCTATTACAACACGATGTAGCGAACAAATGTGGCACGTTACAGAAACCGCTACTTGCGATTTGCCGATTTTGAGAATTCTCAGAAACTGAAATCTGCTAATACTTTCACAAAAATCGCCGTGTTTAATTTTCGCTATTATTATTATTTTTTAATTATATATTTTAAAATTTAACGTAATGAAATCACGATTCCCGTCGAAAAATTTATTATTGAGAAAATGTACTATTTTACAATTTATTTTATCCTCCCATTCGGCTTTGTTTACTTTTACTTGAGAAATTTCATCACCGCCGGGAATGCGGAATCTTGTATTATATCATTCTTGTTAACATATAGTGTTTAGTGTTGGATAATTTTTACTCTTAAAATAAAGAAAATTATGTCGAGCAAAAATAAAACCAGGTACTCAAAAACGCGAATATGTGGTAGATTTCAGACCTTGTGTGGCAGATGTGGTAGATCCTCAAAAATGTGGAGGATCTACCACAATAGTTGCGTTCCAGATGCTCACGATATTCACGATTTGCAGGTTTTTTTTTGCAGGAAAGCGTTCCAGGTGCCAGGAAACCTGCAAGTCAAACCACTTTTGTGAGAGTACCTTGCTCTCTCTCTCTCAGTCAGAAGTTGCAGGTTTTAGTCCGAAGTTTTTCTTCCTGCAAGTTCATGAAAAGTGTCAAACGATAGGCAGGGTTGCATTTGTAAACAAAAACAGATAGCAAAGAACATTAAGCGCCACGGAGACAATCAAACAAATACGTCAAGCGCGTCAACGCGTTAATTCAACAAACAATTTATTTTTCTTGTCCGCGCACTTGCTCACCACGACGATCAGATGGCAAGTGCGCTTGTTTTTTGTCAAGCAAAACGCGAGACGGTTGATAAAGATATTTGATCGTCTCCATGGCGCTTAACATTAAAAAAAATCGAAGTAGTTACAGGAAAAGTGGTTTTTCGCGTTCCAGGCAGAGTTGGGCATTATTCGAATAAATTGTTATTTAGATAATTATTCGAATAAAATTTTATCCGTAATATAATTATTCGCAGATAACTTATTCACGAATAAATTATTCGTGAATAAATTGCTTGCGAATAATTTATTCGTTATTTTATTCGTTATTTTAAATAATGAATAAAAACTCATTTTTAACACATTGAGCCACCTTTTACTTTTATTTCTATTGCCAAGGATTGTAAGTTAGCTGAATTTTGTTTACTATTTTATCAAGAATACTAGCCCATTCCCTATGGTTTCGCGGCCCCTGATAAGATTTTTTGCGTTGGCCAATGCAAGAATAGCGTTGAAAACCAAATATGGGTAAAGTAAAAATTCTCACACATATTTCTGCCAAAAAAATAGCGCTCTGATGCTATATGCAAGAAAAAATTCCTTTCAATGTCATGAGCTTTACCTCCACTTGTGAGATCTTTTCTAAGCGTGCGTAATCTTCTTCTATGATCTTGCAACTACAACATTGGTCCGATGCGTCAACCTCTAGTCTTATGTCATGTAGGCCAACAAAAGTCCTTATAAGGATGCTGAAGAGCACAGATGTGCGTCCTCGATGTAAAATTTGGCCATTGATATAGGAATTGGAAGGATGTGGTCGAAACTTTCCTTGCTGATTCGCCACTTTTAAAATATCCAAGAGCTGGTTTCCTGGAGTCTTACAGGCTAACCTAATATTCACGCACGCCGCCAATTTATTGTCAAAAATTTCTCATGCACATGCAACTTGTATGAGATCAACCGAAATTGAACGGCGTGCGTATGAAGCTAACTCAATTTCGAATTTTTGTTCTGCGTGACATTTTGAATTGACGTTTCGCTCAATGAAATCAAATGCAAACGCATGCAAGTCAATTTCGGGTGACGCAAAAAAACAAATTCGACGGCATGCGTACCAAAACGCAAGCCGCGAATATTAGGTTAGCCTGTTACTGCTGCAGCAATGGCCGCCCGAGCAATTTTATCAAGCGGAGGTAGATGCAAGGTCGCATTTAGGGTATATGACGACGTGGGACATCGTAAATTCGTATAATATAAACATAAAAAACAAAGGAGTCCAGACATATGGGGTTTCTAGAGATTTCGACTGCAGCACCATTATGAATTGCAACCTGATTGTACAATAAGTAGGGATTTTCTAAATAACTCAACTGTAGCGCCACCTAGCGGGTCCATTTTTCGCATAAGTATTTTTCATCATGCAGGAAGAACACATTTTGAATTTGAACGAAATCAGTTCATAAATACGGCTTTTATAAATAACTCGGCTCCATCGCCACAAAGGAGTTTTCTAGTAGCCTTTAATAGGACTTAATGCGCATGGAATAACCTCCGAAAATTTGATTTAACTCTATCTAGGGGTTTGAGTTAAATCACAACAACGAAAACGGTTATCATTTTATACATAAATATATGTACATATCTATATACATACATTACTTGTTGTATTATTATTTTATTCGTTATTCGAATAATTAATGAAGATAATAATTATTCGAATAACGAATAACATAATTTATCCGTCATTCGAATAATTTTTTTTTGAATAACCAAAATTATTTATTATTTACGAATAACAAGAAAAACAATTTATTCATTCGTTATTCGTCATTCGAATAAATTTTGCCCAACTCTGGCTCCAGGTGACTTTTATTTTTTCTCTCTTGCTCCTCTCTTTCAAGAGAGTAATTTTGTTATTTGACAGTTTTACAGGTTTTTACACGAAGTTATCTGGAACGCAACTAATGTGGTAGAAGTCCGATGCCTCAGTGGGCATGGAATATTAATAGCTGCGGTCCAAGAGACGAAGTTGCACAGCAATTCAACCTGGCTCTGGTAAAAAGAATAATAGAAATCGGTTGACGTAGCCAAAAGTTATCAAGGCACATATGCACCTACTAGGGATGTTGCGAATGTGGAATTTGAATTTGGCAAAATTTTAATTTGAAACTTGGCAAAATTGTAAATTTTTTTCGATTGGCACTACACCAGTTGAGAGGACTTTCAGTTATATTTATTTATTTTTATTGCGGTGCAATAATTACTTTTAGAGAATTTCATCGGGGCTGCAAATGTCGGATGTATCTTCCTGACTTTCATCTTCACAATCTAGCATCATGGCACAATCGTTGTTTAAACACCGTTGTTTTCCAAAGAATTCTTCATTCTCATTCTTTTGGTTGTTTCGGAATTTGTCACGTCACCAGCGTTTTTCGATTTTCGTTTTTGTAACTCATAGTTAATGCTTTCTTCTGTGACTGGTTGCATATATCACACTTTTGGCACTCCATGACGCTTACTTTTAATTACAGCTAAAATAACTGTAAACCATAAAAGTAGCGCTGCCATGGTATAGGCAAATTTGCTATTATATTTTGGTTAGAATATCTTATTTAGGTGGAAGTAAAAAAAGAAGAACAAGAAGAAGAAGTGTATAGTGTAAACAGAGTATAATAGCGCAAATGAAATGTGAAATAGAGGCAATACCAGCGATTTGGGGATATAATAATTTTGGCAGGCGCAAAGTTTGTTTACTCTGTTTTATTAACGAAATATATAAAATAACAGTGAATAAATGATTTGGTTTGCATAAAATAATAACCGGAGACGTTAATAGTGTTTTAAAAGTGGAAACTGGTGATTTAGTGCATTTTTGACGGGGTAATTGCTCATAGAAAACAACGAAATTTAACAAAAGTTTTTTGTTTATAACTTTTAAATGGTTAATAATATTAGCCCTCCCCTTCCAGATTGTTAATAGGGGGCCGAAACGCGTCGTTTGGTACCCCTCCCGTCTTTTCCGGACCTTTTTTAGGGGTTGTTACCCTACACTAGAGAATTATCTATACCNTTTTTTGTTTATAACTTTTAAATGGTTAATAATATTAGCCCTCCCCTTCCAGATTGTTAATAGGGGGCCGAAACGCGTCGTTTGGTACCCCTCCCGTCTTTTCCGGACCTTTTTTAGGGGTTGTTACCCTACACTAGAGAATTATCTATACCGTTATGTTCAGCTCAATGATCTCTAATGATCCCCATTTTTTTTTTTTTTTAATTTGAGAATTGTAGGTATTCTGCATTTGTTTCAAAGTGCCTTTCAGCGGTTCTACCTCACTATATTTTTATCATGCTGGCGATAATAATAAATGTTTGGTTTAAGTATTTATACTCACAATAAAAACTCCATTATTTCTATGAGCTATTCAAACCCTTTGGAACTTGACGTCAAGTTTTCTGTTTGCCTGTTTGAATCGGTGTATACACGAACAATTTGAGAAATACCCGTTGTTGTTTATTCCTTACCGTCCTGATCTTCACTCGGCGATTTCGTTTCTATTTTTAGCAATAGTGACGAATTTCATAAAAATATTATGACAATTTATTGCTAGCAAATATGAAAACGTTTTGTTTTCTATTGTGCCAACAGTTGTGTTTAGGTTGATTAAAAAAAAGACAGGTGAGGGACGTGGTGTTAACCGAGTAGTTTATTTCTGACCGGAGGTAGGTAGGGGCCGACCGGAATAGTTCGCAATGATGTATGAAGGTAGGTATATATGATTGTATGTTTGTGGGGCAAGACTGATTTGGAAGTTGGTTATTGATAAATTGTGTCGTCGGCTAATCGAATATGCTCTCCGCTGCAGCTGATGTCGTTTTCTCCAGAAAACCAATCAAGCTATCGATTTGTGTGTAAATTCACTTTTAATATATTAAATTGGGATAACTGCAGATGCTTTTAACTTTCATTCGAGATAAATTTTAGATTTTCCACAATTTTATTTGCACAATAATCGTAGCACGAAGACAAAAGACACCACAATTCAATGCTTTTTGACAAACCGAATCAAGAAACCGAGACACCAACAAAGAAGTAAAAAAGTCAACTCACCTCAATACTGTCAAGTGGAGAGAGAGAAGAGTATAGTAACAAGAAGTATATTTGTCTCAAATTTTTTGACTTTGCAAACTTGGTGATAATTAAGCCGAATTTTCACTTGGTATTGATTGACAGCAAGAACGATAGAAATTCTACCAAGGATGCATTGTAACGTTAATTTTAGCGTTTACCAAAAAAAAACAATTGTTTTTATTGAAACGATTAAGTTTTTACCGTTTACGTAATTATCAACATAATTCTATTTTGGTTTTTAAGGAACGGAAATTCATTTGTTAACGCTGAAGCTGTATTATGCATTTAGGTGCTACATGGGTGTTAACAGTGAGCTGGCCAAGGCATGCAACAACAAATTTCGTTGATTTATTTTGTTTTAATGTTAACGGTTGATGATTTATTTCGTTTCAACGTTAAGGATTGAGTTTTGGTTTGTTAATTTAGCTCTTTATGCATTAACAAAACGAGTTCGACTTATATATGCTGTTTCATTGAGCGGGTGGGCTTTAGATTGGTAACCCCGGAGTACAGCGTTAAGGAAAATATGGGAGGAAGAGGGGGGTCTAATAGTTCCCTGTATGAAGTTTCAAAGCGCGCACGGTTTGGTAGCGCTGACAAATTAATTAGGGGATTCCCTTAAGCTCGAAAGTGGCTCGAAAACCACGAAACCTCGAAACTTTTCCAGCCTCGAAAAACAACTGTCAAAAATTGTATGAGTGGCGATTTTCGCGTGCCTCGAAAACTTTCGAGGCAAATTAGTCGCGAAAAAAGCCTCGAAAAGTCGTTCGTAAGTTTCAGTGTTGCCTTTATATCCGAATATTCTACGAACTTCATACAATTTACATTTTTCACTTTTTCGTGGCATTTTCAATGCTGATTTTATATGTATTTATTTCAGCTGATGCGATGTATTATACAAAAAACTCTGAATGAGCTGTCAAACTTCGGAATTTCTCCATTGTTTACGAGGCTGAAAAAAGGTGCATTCCCAAAAACAGCCTCGACAACTTTCGAGGTTTTCGAGTTTTCTGCTCTTCGCGTTTAAGGGAATCCCCTAAATGTATACACAATTGTTACTCTTAAGTTGATTCAAATAAATCGCCTTTATGTTAAACATTTATATAAGTGAATATTATTTCGTTTAAATGTACTTTTCCGCATTTAGTGAGGTCATTTTTATGATTTCGTCTTCCTCGTGCTAGTAGTATAAAATTAGTGTTGCCAACCCCAATAAGAATGATCCAGATCGTTTCCGTGAGAATTGATCGTGATACTGAGCGGGATAATCGAAGGAAACACAATTATAGTTTGTTGAGAATCTCTGTGTAGAACCATGATATAAAAAAGAAGGTAGTTTCATTGTCACTTTTCGGGCGCCATATTAACTACCTGACAATTACCATACCATACCTTATCCCCAAAAATCTTTTTTTTTTTTTTAATTTGTTTTTGTTATTTTTATGGCCTTATAACAATTATACTCAACAATTTTTATGAGCTTGAGGCCGTTGTTTTAGTGAAAAAAAGAATAATATTCAAAATTAAAGGAAAATTTATTTTATTTTATTTTATTGGCTGTTAGTTGCTTAAGAATAAATCTAAAATATGAGCTGTTTATTTCCTGAGTGCAAAAGTACGAAACATATTTGCAAGCTGACGGATATAAAGCTTTTCAGGTTCCTTGTAATACCTCACATTCGCGGGGAATGGTTGAAAACATGCAGATTGAGCCTGGATGTGTTGCTTAAGATTCCGTACGTCTGCTCATTACATTTTTCCAGCGGGATATTTCGCTTACGAAGAAGATCACAAGACTTAACCGAAGCTAGAAATATAAGCATTGCAGTTGCTTATAATGGGCCGATTATGGATTGTAACGCAACCGGAGTTGGGTTGCCGATGGTCGACGCCACTGAAATTCAAATCTGTATTATGAATAGCAACTATTGTTAAGTGCTATAAAGTTAAAGATAATAGAATTTTGAAGTACCAGCGTCCAAAACTTTAGTGTAAAAAAGGAAAAAAAAACAGTTGAAAAAATAATAAATCTTCCCAATGAAAGTTTCGCTGGAACCACAAAATTGCAGTTGCCAATATTGCAACTCAGTTGTCAGCTTTCAGTTACCAGTTGCCATCTGTAAAGCTGAAATTAGTCAAGAACGTAAACCTACCGGTACGTAAACCCGAGTCAGCTGCCGCGATCTGTCTTACCAGAGAGCCATGTAAATGAAAACTCAACACCGCAGAATTTTTCTGTAGTTGTAGCCCGTAGCGCAGAAATCTGCGGAATTTAGATTTTTCCGTGTCAGCTGATTTCTTCCTTCTATAGATGGTTGCCCCTTCGTCAGTTTCGCAAATGGTAAAAAAGGTATAATTTCCTATTCAAACTACGTTTAAAATATTTGGAATTTACTATTGAATAAAGTTTTTTGTTGAAAACTAAGTAGTTTATATTTAGCTACGATCTATTATAGCACGAAAAATTGTAGTTGAAAAGGTAAGTTTATGAAAAGGCATTGATTAGTGGTAACACTGTAGTAAGCAACACTGATGGCTCCAGTAATCGACAAAATTCTGCGTATACAGACTGCGTTTAAGTATACGTTCTGCGTTCTTGACTAATTTCAGCTTAGTACCATTTCAGTCACTGGAAACCCAACTGAAGTTCGGTTGCCATCCGTAATCGACCCATAAGAAAGGCTAATTTTATTTGTTGTTGTTGTCGTAGCGGTAACTAAACCCCGCTCGGGTCGGCTTGACCTTCAACGTTGTCGTCAGGCTCAGCTAAAGGGAGGCCCAGAAATTGTGCAACTTCTACAGGGTCTGTTCACAGGGACAGAAGCGTTATGTTGGTTGGGTTTTGGAGCATGCGAAGAATAAAAATAAAGGAGTTGAAAATTATAAATGTCAGCAAAAAATTGAAGAAAACTAAAATCTAGAATATTGTTTTGTTACATGTTATGTAAATTTGTATATTTTGTTTAAAATTACTTACCAAATAAATCATTTAGGGGATTCAGAAGTCGTGTTAGGCGTTGTAATGTCTTAAAGTCTTAAAATTGTTCAATATAAAGTAACGGTTAAAGCCTTTTGAAAGATTCGTTCGGTATAATAGGAGCCAATAGCAGGGACCGCAAGTAACGATTATCTTTGAAATTTCTGCTCAAAAAATCACACTGATGGCCAATTTTTCAGTGCCAGTTTAAACTTAGATTAAGTAAACTGAGTTTAAATGGAACATCTGGCTGACATTTGATTGGCTGATCCTTGTTTAAACCAGCCAAATCGGGCGTTTAAACTTAGTTTAAACCACGGCCGTGCACTGAAAAACTCGCACTGAAAGAGAAATGCTACGTGCATAAGGATTTTTATTTTTTTATTTTTATCTATAAAAATCAAGTTTAATCATTATTTTTGGAGTGCTATGTTTTACTCAAAAAATAATCGTTGTTTTGAGTTTTATTTTTGCTCGGAAAATAATCGTTACGTTTTAAGTTTTATTTTTTGCTCTTCATCTTCATCTTCATCTTCATCTTCATCTTCATCTTCATCTTCATCTTCATCTTCATCTTCATCTTTATCTTCATCTTCATCTTCATCTTCATCTTCATCTTCATCATCTTCATCTTCACCTTCACCTTCACCTTCACCTTCATCTTCATCTTCATCATCTTCATTTTCATATTCATCTTCATCTTCATCTTCATCTTCATCTTCATCCCCATCTTTATCTTCATCTTGATCTTCATCATTATCAGTTTCCTTGTTTTTTTATTTATCCTTAACTTTGTCCTGTTCTTCATCTTTATCATTGGATTGATCCTTCAATATAGGTTGTGAGCATCTGTTTGTCGTTGCCCTTGTCTTTGTTTCTGCCCTTGTATCTTGCTCTCTGTATTTTCATTACCCACTCCGCAGTGGCGTTGAAAGTTCAATGCAGCCGCCCCTGTCTATTCACGCATGCGAATACCATGATCCTACTACACAAGATCCGACCAGATGAAGCAAAAGAAAAAAGTAATTTTCTGGCTGACGTTTGTAATTTAGGTCATGTTATTTTCTTTGAAAAGTAAACAAAGAATATGAAGACGCAGCATAAAGAAAAAAATGCAAGCAATTTTGCAGCACATGTTTGTACTAACCAATTTATTATTTTGTACGTGTTTTTGCAACCAATCGCCGCGCACTTAATTTTAATTACATTTGCACAAAAGAATTATTGAAAATCGCTTAAAAATCACTGAAATAAACCACCGACAAAATACACATAAAGAAAGAAGCAAAACAGAAATAGCAAACTTCAAAATTACAAACATCACACACTTTTTTCTCAATTGCTATTACAAATGGCTGCTTCACAACCGGACAGATCTGTTCTAATTGGTTTATGTGCGTATACGCATACGCAAAAATTAAGTTTAATTTTCTGATGAAAAAATAAAACTGAAGAAATAACTATTATTTTCCGAGCAAAAAATAAAACTTAAAACGTAACCGTTATTTATAAAACTTAAAACGTAACCATTATTTTCCGAGCAAAAAATAAAACTTAAAACGTAACCATTATTTTCTGAGAAAAAATAAAACTTAAAACGCAACAATTATTTTCCGAGCAAAAAATAAAACTTAAAACGTAACCATTTTTTTCCGGGCAAAAAATAAAGCTTAAAACGTAACGATTACTTTCCGAGCAACATATAAAACTCAAAAATTACCGTTATTCTCCGAGCAAAAAATAAAACTCTAAACATAGCGAATTTTGTTTTTTTTTATTTTTAATTTTAATAGGCTTGTCCGACCTTGCATCGTTTAGTGCAAATAAAACAAAGTTATTCCACTATTGTTGCCCAACGTTTCGCTAAACCACAGCATAACTTACATCCCCAAACTATCCGAAAACCTCGATCGCAACTTGGCTAAAACACAAAATATCACTCTCGCCTACAAGTCCAATAACACTTTATCCGCGATTTACACAAAAACAATCACCC